GGGAGTTAGGGTCTCAGGTGTGGATGCAACCAGAAGGGGTACCAAGTGACTCCTTGGGGCTGAGGGACTGGGGACACAACATTCTTGTGTTTTGCTAGACTCCTGGTCTAGAAAGATGCATAGGGATGGCCTGGCACTTGGAGAGTGTATGACATGTGTGTCAAGTGAGGGGATTGCTTGTGTCCTGACTCTCATGCTGGTCTACCAGGAGGGCAGTGGTCTAGATCCAGACAGAAGAGTCCAGCAGTGGCACCCACACTGACCAGCTTCATGGGAGTGTGGCTAAGACCTTTCCTACCCCCTTCATGGACATTTTGTTTTGTTTTGTTTTGTTTTGTTTTTTTTTTGTTTTTTGAGACAAGATTTCTCTATGTATCCCTGGCTGTCCTGGAACTCACTCTGTAGACCAGACTGGCTTTGAACTCGCAGAGATCCACCTGCTTCTGCCTTCAAGGTGCTTGGATAAAGGCAAGCGCCACCACCACCACCCACCCCAGACTTTGTTCTTGCCTTTTCAGAGTAGGAATGGCAATACTGCGTTAGGGTATCTAGTAGGTAGAGGGTTAAGGGCTTTTGGACTTAGAAGGGACCCAGAAAAGAGTGAGAGTCAGGGCCTGCGACTTTAGCTGCTTGATAGAGTGCTTATGTGGCATGAGCAAACCCTAGGTTCAATTCTCTGGTGCAGGAAAACCACGAAGAAACTAAAACAAAAATAAATATGAGCCACATATCTGGGGTGACACTTAGGAGGGTGCAAATCAGGGCCATGAGACTGAACCCCACTTGTGAAATTTGGGAGAGGTAAGAGGTGGACCCGGAATGCAGGGCTTACTTGCTGCTTGCCCTCTCTGGGCTTCAGTTCCCCATGTGAAGAGGGGTCTTGCAAATCTGTTCTTATGAGAGGAAAGGGGCTTGGTCATGGAGTATATGGTGTACATACCCTAAGAATTTTTAACTCTCTGGGGGCTTCGGGAGGAATGGCATGACAGGACTGTGTGAGTCTGGGCTGGTGGAGGACCCTGGGCTTCGAGGGGCTGGGCCCAGGTCCTCCTTTGGGTCAGGTCCTTGGCATGCTGGGTCTCAGCCCATGTGGTCACCTCACTGTGCCTGACTTGCATGCTGACACTGACTTGCATGCTGAGGGTCCCAGTAGCAGGAACTCTAGGTGTCACTGGCCAGGCTCTGGCTATGCAGCCTCTGGCTGGTTGCCCACCCTCTCTTGACCTTAGTTTCCATATTCATGAAGCAGGACAAAGGCATTGTCCCGGCAGGGCTGCCTGAGGGCCTGGCGCACAGTGAGCTCAGTGAATGGGAGGGATCCAGCAGGGTTCCCTCACACAAGAACTAGGGGACTGGATGTTAATGAGCGCTGGGGCTGGTCCAAGCAGCCAGTCTATAAAACCCCGGCCTGCAGCTTCTTGGGTGCCGCTGATTGGAGCTTATGTGAAGGGTGCAGCCACATAAGGACCCATTGTTCTGAGTGGGCACAGTTTTATGACTCTTAGAAAGCGTCTTTCATCTGGGGACCAGGGAGCTGGTAGAGAGTCCCAGCCCCCGGGGGGTGGTGAAACCAGGGACAATGGAGGTTTCTGGGGCTCGTGCCAGGCCATAGCTGTGGCCAGTGTCATGGCAGGCTGACAGCTGCCAAGCGTCCTCACCAGCTGAGGCTGTTCCCTTCTGGAGACCTTGTGTGTGGGCCCAGTCCCCTGGCTTAGCTCACACTGTCCCTGGTTTCCTTGCTGTTCCTACTCTCTGCACTGTCCCCTCACCCTGTCTCTCCATCCCTATGGTGGCTTCTAGAACAGGCTCCAGGCTCTGTCAGCTGACTGGCAGTTAACTGTGAGCTCTTGGAGGGGGTAATCTGATGCCAGGAGGAAAAGACCTTGCCTACTGTCCTTTCTGGCTGTGTGCCCAGGCCCCTGGCGGAGCCACCCAAAACCCTGCTCATCAGAGGCGGCAGGAACTCTGCTTGCCCCTCCTGAGAGGCTGCAGACACTCAGGCTGCAGGTGAGGCAGGGCTTCTCGGCACATGGGCCTGTGTGTGTGGTGTCGGGCTGGTGGGCAAGAGTCCGACTGTCCCAGCAGCTGCCTCTGAGGTCCTGGCTCACATCTACCCCGCAGTGACCTTTCCCTGCTGCCCTTTTACCTTCTCCTGTGTGAGGACTCAGGAAGGCAGACGCAGGGGCTGAGCATTCTCTTGTACAACACTGAGGTTCTCCTCTCGTCCTACATGGTGACAGTGGCCAGGGCACAGGGAGTACCGCCTGCCTCTGGTCACAGGCCACTTTGTTGTCAAGGACTACAGGTGCCCTTGGGGGAGGGTCCAGTGAGAGGGGCCCTCATGACATCAGTGACGGAAGTCAGGGCCACAACAAGTCGTTGTGCTCCAGTTTCAATATCTGTAAAAGTTAATATGATACTTCGTAGGGCATGTGGGGGTGCGGGTGGGGGTGCATTCATGAACACCAGTGTCCGCACAGAGCAAGACAGAGAGACAACATTCTGTTTGCTGTCATCATCATCGTTGCTATTATTTTTGTTTGTGTTTGTTTATTGTTAAGGGCATTGTGTGTGCTAGGCAAGAACTACCCAGTGGGTCGTGTCTCTGAGCTCCATCTTCAGCACTGGATTATTTTATTTTATTTTTATGTTTCTCTCAAGCCTCAGCCTGAACTCGGCTGTGATTTCTTCATAATGTGAGCCCTGACTGTGCTTTCAACAGTCTCTGTGGTCGTTTTTTCCAGCTCGGCCTTGGGTTTCTGACTCCACATTCCTGGGAGCAGTGAGCCCAAGGGCACAGTGTGGGTCTGAAGTCCATCCCATGTGGCCTTCCATGTGGCCTGCTGTGGCGGGGAGCAGGTGCTCCGGGGCCGGTCTTGTTGGAGGCTCCGTTACATGGGAGTGGGAAGCTGAGGCCAGGTGCTTTCTCTGTCGACCCGAGGAGCTCATGAAGTTTCAAAGCCTTCAGGACGATTTCTTTTTTGGTGTGTTATGCGGAAGCCAGAGGTAGGAGGATCTCTGACTTTGAGGCCAGCCTGATCTACACAGCAAGTTTTAGGCAAGATAGGGTTACACAGTGAGACCCAGTTTCAAAACAACTACAAAAAACCAAACCAAACAAAACAAAGCAGCCGGCATGAAGTTATCGGGGAAGACACCAGAAATCAACCTCTGGCTTTTATACAGGTGTGCACAGGCAAGTGTGCCCTTATGTACCCAAATACACACATGTGCACACATATTCACACACTGTATACACACAAGATAAATGAAAAAAAAATCACATAGTTCTGCAAAATGTCAAGGTTTGTGCTGGTTTTGGGGGCACATACCTGTACCAGTCCCTGGGAGGCCGAGACAGGAGGATTGCCTGGAGTTTGAAGTAACCTGGGCTGCTGTGTGAGACCCTGTCTCACAAAACACAACCAAAAGAACAAACAAACAAACAAACAAAATACTGCTGGCCTGTTGTGGGATTTTTCCTGGGGTTATGTGAACAAATGTCTATTCACTCCTGACATGGTGCCAGTGGCAGACCAAAGAGACATTTCCACATGAACTCAGCTCAGGAGCGTGGGTGGGGATGACCACCTGAGGCCATAGGGAGGATGAAGGGTAGAGGGCGGGAGGAAGGTGCAGCTGGGATTTCATGTAAGGGTCTGAGGAGCTACCTCCCCACTGTCTGACCAGAGAATCTGTTTAACAGGACGGATCCTGTGAAAGTCTGTTTGTCTGTTTGTTTGTTTTTGTTTTTAAGACAATGGCTGTCCTGGAACTTGTTCTGTAGACCAAGACCAGGCTGGCCTTGAACTCAGAGATCTACTCACCTCTGCCTCCTGTGTGCTGGGATTAAAGTTGTATGTCACGACCGTCCGGGTAGCTGAGGAGTACATATCTGCTTTTCCAGGCTTGTTCTCGGTTTTTTGGATGCATGTATGTCTGTACTGTGTATGTGCAATGCCCATGTATGCCAGTGCCATGAGCACAGCTGCTCCATTTAAGAGGGCCAGGGCCAGGTCATGCCCCTAGGAAACATGGGCATTATGTCATGGAACTGAGACTGAATAGGTGGTTATTGTGTCATGTATTATGTCATGTACAGATATTGGAACTGAGACCGAGAGAAGGAAGTGACTTGTTTCACTGAGGATGAATCACCTGACTTTTCCCCTAAATTTTATTTATTATTATTATTATTATTATTATTATTATTATTATTATGTTGTATCATTGCAGGTGCGTGCACACTACCAAGCACGTATGGAGGGCAGAGCACAGTCCTCTGTAGTCAGGTCTCTCCTTCGGCCTTTATGTGTGTTTTGGGGACTGAACTCAGTTTACCAAGCTTGCATAGCAAGCTCTTTTAGCTAATGAGCTCCCTCGTTGCTCCCAATTTTCTTTAGTGTGTGTGTGTGTGTGTGTGTTGTGTATGTGTGTGTGTGTGTGTGTGTGTGTGTGTGTGTGTGGCCACATGAGGAGTTTAGAGGACAACTTTTGGGAGTCACTTTTCTCCTTCACTGTGGGATTCAGGGATCAAACTTGGGTTGTCTGACTTTGAGTACAATAGCATTTGCCCCTGAGCCATCTTACTAGCCCTGCCTAACTTTGCAGAAAACCTCAAATATTCAGAACAGCTGCAAGTCCGATACAGTCCCACTTCCCAGCAGCCCCTTTCAGGGACTGCAGAGGAAGCTGCTGGCTTCGTGGTCTTTCACCCTGGGCACTGGGGTGTTTCCTGCCTAAAAGGACACTGTCCCTTGAAGCCATCGCACAGTCAGTAGAATCAGGAAGTTCATGATACCTTACCATGGTCTAATCTTCAAACACAATCAAGCTTTTCCAGTTGTCTATGGTCACGTGAGGCAGCTCATGCCATCCAAGTACTTCCTGATCACGTTAGTCCTACCTGAACACCTGCGTATGCTTACTGGGAAGTTGTTTTCTGCCCTTTCGGGGCTAACAAGCTCTGTGGGCAAGTGTGTGAGACCAGGCGCTCCCATATGCCCGTTTGCCTCTTTGCAGTGTGTGGACTTCGTGGTCCGCTGTCGAATGTAAGCTGTCGTAACTCTGTTTTGTTTGTCTTATTGCCTGTGCGGCCAAAGAGGGCAAGGGGCTTGACAGAGCCACCTCTTAATGAGATTGCAATGGGACCCTGGCTCTTTAGAAGATGCACCCTTAGGGTTGGGGCTCAATATCACGACAAGGACAGAAAGAGGACTTCATATACACACTCATTCATTCTGCTATGGGAGGGTGGTCACTGGGCCGGGAAGATCCCTTCCTCAGCCACCCATTTTCTTCTGTTTTTTAAAAAAATAATTTATTTAGCCGGGCGTTGGTGGCGCACGCCTTTAATCCCAGCACTCGGGAGGCAGAGGCAGGCGGATCTCTGTGAGTTCGAGGCCAGCCTGGTCTACAGAGCGAGTTCCAGGACAGCCTCCAAAACAATCCAGAGAAACCCAGTCTCGAAAAACAAAACCAAAAAAATTAAATTAAAAAAATAATTTATTTAAATTTATTTTATGTGAGTTGGTGTGAAGGTGTCAGATCCCTTGGAACTGGAATTACAGACAGTTGTGAGCTGCCACGTGGGTGCTGGGAATTGAACCCAGGTTCTCTGGAAGAGCAGCCAGTGGTCTTAACTGCTGAGGAATCTCCCCAGCAGCCCCTGCTTTTTTTAAGACAGGGTCTCACTAAGTAACCCCAGCTATCCTGGAAGTCACTATGTAGACCAGGCTGGTCTTTAACTAATTCACAGAGATTTGCCTGCCTCTTTCTCCCTAAGTGCTGGGATTAAAGGTGAGTGTACCATTCCCAGTCCTTATATTTTTATTTTTGTATGTATGTGGGTGTGAGCATGCCATGGCTCATGTATGGATGTCAGAGGGTGTTAATTCTCATCTTCTACCTGTGGGTCCTAAAGATGCAGCTCAAGGTGGTTAGGTTTAGAGGTAATCACCTGTATGTACTGAGCCATCTTGCTGGATTCCTTCTTTCCTTCCGTCCTTCCTTCTTTCTTTCCTTCCTTCCTTTTTTTCCTTCTTTTCTTCCTTTTTTTTTTTTTTTTGAGACAGTTAGCCCTGGCTGTCCTGGAACTCACTCTGTAGACCAGGCAGTCTTTGAACTCACAGAGACCTGCTTGCCTCTGTCTCCAGAGTGCTGGGATTAAAGGTGTGTGCCACCACTGCCTGGCTATTGCTGGTTCCTTTTGATCCTTGATGAGGCTGAGCTGGTCAAAAGGGAATCAGAGTAGGAGGCAGAGGCAGGGCCTCTGTGTCTCCATCTTGGCTTTGCCACCAGCTTGCTTAAGAGCCCGGCCTTTTTAGTCAAAGAGGAATCCAGCCCCTATCTTTACCCCTAACCCTGCAGCTCAGGGTGAAAGTAAGGCAGACATGTTCCCGAATTTCCTGATCCCCCAGTGGGTGCTTTTGAGATGTAACTATACAAAAAAATCCCCCAGGAGGCATGCTCAGTGGATGATTCTGGTTAATTGAATGCTATAGAATGTGGAAATGTTCCCAGAATTCAAACATTTTTTAAATTTATTTTTATTTCATGTGCATTGGTGTTTTACTTGCATGCACATCTGTATGAGGGTATTGGATCCCTTGGACCTGGAGTTACAGACAGGTGTGAGCTGCCTTGTGGGTGCTGTGGATTGGACCCCGGTCCTCTGGAAGAGCAGTCAGTGCTCTTAACTGCTGAGCCGTCTCTCCAGCCCCAGACTTTTTTCTCTCCTTTCTTTTTGTGGCTGTTGAACACAGGGGTTTGGCTGTCCAGCAGACATTGGCTCTTGCTGCAGCGGCTTCTGTCCTAGGTGCTGGGAGTATGCCTGCTCGGCCTGACTCCAGAAACTGTATCTAGGGCAAGTTACAGGGGCAACTTCCTTGTGTGCCTGGAGTGGACTGTGGTTGCTTGGGAGCCCTGGAGCCCCAAAGAGGGAATACGGGAAGGAGTCATTGGAGAAGGTGCTATTGTTGTAGAGATGCATAGAAAGCAGTCACCAAGCCTGCCTGTGATTCTAGGGCCTGGGAGGCAGAGGCAGGTGAACCTCAAGTTCAAGACTAGCTTGGGTGATATAAAAAGATCATGTCTCAAAACATCAAAGTAAAGCAGGGTATACTGGCACATGCTTGCCACCCCAGGATTTGAAAGGTAGAAGCTGGAGGAGCTTGAGTTCAAGGTCAGCCTGGGCAATGTGAGACCCTGTCTCAAAGAAACAAAACCAAACAAAACAAAAGCACCTGAGCAAAGATATCACATAATAAAAAGCAGTTAGTGTTGTGTTTGGCATGGAATAGCCAGGTGCAGTCTAGGCCACAAAGACAGCAGGAACAAAGGGCCAGAGATGCATCTTGTATCATCCTGTCATCATCATCGGTACTGAGTTGCAACAGCTGGCCACAGGGTCTCACACCTGTAATCATAGCACTGGGAGATCTCCAGGTAGAGGCAGGATTGTGAGTTCAAGGCCAGCCTGTCTCAGAAAAGTTCAGCCAACTCCCTCTTCCAGGCACGGTGCTGAGAGGCACTCATTGTGGTCCAGCATTTGATACCCTGTCACAGGCTTTCCCATCGTATGGCCTCTAACAAAACTAGGTTGTCTCAAACCCCTGGCAACAGGATTTTTTATCTTTATACCAAGAAGGTTGGGAAAGCACCTGCATCTGCATGCGGTGTGTGTCCAGGCAGACTTCAAGGGGTTTGTGCTGTGAGACCGAAAGTCCTTATGAGACCGTCTAAGACAAAGAACCATGTCAGTGGGTCTATGGTGGGTGGTTCCAGGTGTGCCAAGTGTGTCCATGACACGATCAAGCGGGCTTTCCTAACTGAGGAGCAGAAAACTCTTGTGAAAGTGTTGAAGGCACAAGCACAGAGTCAGACAGCAAAATAAATATGCAACTTTTTTTTTTTTTTTTTGGTTTTTACCAGACAGGGTTTCTCTGTATTGTTTTGGAGGCTGTCGGACCAGCCCGGCCTCAAACTCACAGTGATCCGCCTGCCTCTGCCTCCCTAGTGCTGGGATTAAAGGCATGCACCACCACCGCCCGGCTAATATGCAACTTTTTAAAAATAATAAATACCAAGGCTTGGTCTGTGGGAAAAAATCTGACCAACTGAAAAGCTTTAAAAAAATAAATAAAAAGAGCTGGGCAGTGGTGATGCACGCCTTTAGTCCTAGCACTTGGGAGACAGAGGCAGGCAGATCTTTGAGTTTGAGGCTAGCCTGGCCTACATAGGGAGTTCTAGATCAGCCAGGGCTACATAGTGAGACCCTGTGTTATAAAAATAAAAGCCTGGGAATGGTAGTGCATGTCCTTAATCCCAGCACTTAAGAGGCAGAGGCAGGTGGATCTCTGAGTTCGATGCCAGTCTCGACTATATAATGAGTTCCAGGACAGCCAGGGCTACACAGTGAAGCCTTGCCTCAAACCAACCAAACGAACAAAAAATAAACAAATACAAATAAGAAGCATTTAGAGCTGGGGGAAGGGAGAGGAGGCATGTATGCATGTTCAGATAATGAACTTGACGGGGAAGAAGGCAGGAGACTGTGCTGGCCTGGCTTGTGAAGCCTGTGGTCTCATTCCTCATTAAGCATGCCTCTTTATGGCAAAAGTAGAGAGCAGAGAGAGGCTAAAGTTAAAATGCTAAGTCATGGGGGAAGGGCCTGCGTGTCACGGGTGCACGGGACTGGCAGAGAGGGCTGGCCAGTGGAGAACATATTCGTGTTGAAGGGGCCTGTCCCCTGTAGAATGTGGCCATACCACAGGGAACGTGAACTGGGCATTGCCATCTCTTAGCTGTATTTGGAGCTCTGGCAACCTGGCTGTTTATGGCCGAGCTCCCAGTGGTCAAGTGTTGGCCACCAGTTAACAGCAACTGCAGAGGGACTGTGCGGAGAGCAAGCTGAAGCTACCAGCTGCGTTTGTCTTCTCAGCTGGTGATTTGCATCATAGAACCTCAAGAGTTCGGTGGATGACGGTTTGGGGGTGTGCAAGTGGGATCCATGGAATCCTCAATCGTGAGTGTGCTTCCACCTTGTGCAGAGCTCTGGGGGCACAAGGGGCATCTAGACCATGCTCTCTCCCTACACGCCTGGACCACAGTGTCCTCCAGCTAGGGATGGTTCAAATCAGCATCCCGTTCACAGCTGCATGCTGGGAGTGCAAGGCAGAATTCCTAGGGATTCTGGGTCTGGGTATAGGTCTGGGAGGGGGTGGCAGCCTCAAGGTCCCAAAGGAGGCTGGGACCGATCCTGAAAAGCTGAGATCAGAGACCCAGAGCGTGTGTGTGGCTCTATTTATGACAGCCCCCTCATCACATTCTGGCCTACAGCTTAGTGCTGTGAGCTCTAAGGACATCTGAAGTCCTTCCTGCTTTGATGGCCTTTTGGAACATTCTCCTATGTTCTTCTGGCTGTGGTACATCAGCAGAGACTGGACCTGTTTGTTCAAGAAGTCTCCTATCTTCCCCAAATGGAGCATGGAGGGTAGCGAGTGTTCAGTCACCTAATGACTGGAGTGAGGGCTTGCCAGTGACTTCAGAGAGTTCTGCCCAATGACTTGTCTGTACCATAGCCTGTTTATTGGTGTCTTCTCCTTCTCTGAGAGCTAAGGAGGCAGGGTCTGGGTCCTTCTGGTTCCTGTCTTCTTTGGAAGCCCTCAAAGCAAGTGCTTCATAAATAGAGGGTATTTAATTTTCTGTAGATTTATTTATTTCATTTTATGTGTATGAGAATTTTGCCTGCATGTATGTAGGCTCACCATATGCATGCCTGAGGAAGCCAGAAGAGGACTTTGGATCTCCTGGAACTGGAGTTTTGAATGATTGTGAGCCACCATGTGGGTTCTGGGAATTGAACCCAGGTCTTCTGTGAGAGCAACAAATCTTAACCATTGAGTTATCTCCCCAGTCCCCCAAAGAGGGCATAAAAACTAACAAACAATTAAGGGGCTGAGAAGATGGCTCAGGGAGTGAAGTGCTTGTCTTGAAAACAACGAAGACCTGGGTTTGGATCCCAAGCACCCATGGAAAAAGCTGGACAGAGTGGCAGGACCCTGAAATCCCAGCACTTGGAGGCAGGGACAGGAGGATTGCTAGGACTTGTTGACCAGCCAATCCAGTCAAACTGGCAAACTCCAGGTTGAGTGAGAGACCTTTAAAAAAAAGTGGCTTGGAGAGACTCTAGAGGACCTGAGTTTGAACCCAGAACCCATGCTGAGCCCTTCACAACTGCTGGTAACTCCAGCTCCCAGGGATCTGATGTCTCTGGCCTCTGGGTGCCTGCACGTACACTCATATGCACTCATAGTTAAAAACAAAAGAAATCTTTTAAGAAGATATGGAGAGTGAGGCAAATATCTGACATCAACACAAACATATATTCACTACACACACACACACACACACACACACACACACACACACACACACACACACATACACACACACATACACACCACCACCACCACCACCACCAGGAACAACAACAAAATGCCCTTCTACTGGCTTTGTGGCCACAAGCACAGTTAGATAATGATTTCAACCTATACTTTGCACTTGAACCCTTCAGTCATTATTGCTAACCCAGGAATAATTGCTGATAAGCCTGAGTGTGAATTGCTTCTCACATAGAGAGGTAGCTGGGAGTGTTTAATAACAATGGATAATCTTAATTAGTGACCTGATAACTGTAATTAACTACATCATATCCAGAGGCCCTCTGGGATCCTGGAAGGGAGTAGCCTGCACTTGGCTGCCTTGAGGCAAACAAGGATGGAGAACTCCGAGCTCAGCTTCATCACCTCTTTGCTGGGTGGCTGATGGGCTTTGGCGAATGACTCCAATTTCTGAGCCTCAGTTTTGGCACTGGGAAATGGGGCTGTATCAAAGTCTGGGCAGTGAAGATGTCAAAGCCCTTCTTTGAACAAGCCACCGGTACCCGAGGCTGCCTGGCTACTTACTACCAGAGTCCAGGCTGCACCCAACCATTGTGGATGTAGGGCAGCCACAAGAGGCCTTGTGTCTTCGTGGGGACACGTCATGGGTCTCAGTTTCTGTGGGGACAGGCCGTGCACCTTTCACCCCTTGCAGGGAACTCCAGGTCATGTTGGGGGAATTTAAAGGAGCCTGGTGTCTTCAGGATCTTTCCCAGGGCTGCAGAGAAGTGGAGTAGTGGTGTGTAGGGTCATCCTGTGCCAGACTGGGAAGGCGGGAGGTCTATGTGTGTGTCCTTGGTGTTGTCTGGGGTCTCTCCACCCCCCCCCCCCAGCCTCAGTTTCCCGGAGAGGGAGGAGGATGGATGGAGAGCCGAGCCCCGCCCCCTCCAGGATCACGGTTAGGGGAGCTGGGAGGGGCGCTGCGTGTAAGCCAGGCCACCAGGGGTTAAGTGGTGACCTCAGCCGTGCGCCCCGGGACCGGGCGGGAGGGGCGGGCCGTGCAGCGGCTGCAGGCCGCGGGCCGGGGCTGCAGCGGGGCGCGGGGCTCGGCCCGGCCACCGGCGCCCGCGGCGGGATCCGGAGGCGCGGTGGCGCGGAGCCTTTGTGAGCAGCAGGGACGGTGAGTGCGCGTTGCCAGGCCTGGGCTCCTGGCCTCCAGCCGCTTTGTGTGTCCGGGTCTCCGAAGTGCCTCCTGGGACGGTCCCCAGCCCTGTATGCGCCGGTCCCTCTCTTGGTTGTGTCCTTTTGTGCCTCTTGAGTGTCCGTCTGTCTGAGTCCTGACTGGTCTTTGTGCCTCCGTCTGTCTGTTTTTTTTCTCTCCCTCTGTTCTGGAGTCCCCTCCCAGTTCTGTGTCATCCTCGCCCCATCCCTGCACTGTGGTTCACTGTGCCCCTCCCATGTCCCTCTGACCTTGGGTGTTGTGGGGTCCCCAGATTGCGTGAAGTCAGGTAATACGGTGTAGCTTCTGTTCTGGGTCAGCCTCTCCCATCTTGAGTCCTTGCCCAGAGGCGGGACAGCCAGGCCTCCCGCAGGAGCAGGAGCAGAGCTGAGCGTGGGAGGAGTGGACGCGGGGTCAGCGGCAGGCCATGGCACATGGCCCTGGGTGGCCTTGGGTGGAGAATTGAGTTCAGTGGGCTCGCTAAATGGTGGAGATCATCTTTCTGGGGGTAGCTTGTGAGAGGGTGCCTGCATCTGACGTGGGGGAGGGGTCACTTCTCTGTGTTTCTGAAGGTGGGAGTCATTTGGTCCCAAGAGCCTGAGGACCCCACCTCAGCCCAGAGAAGGGAGATGGTACCGGGTGGATCTCATTTCTGAGGGGCTTTGGATCACAGAGTTTGCTTCAAAGGCCTTGGAGTCCCCAGAGGGAAACCCCTGTCGGTCCTGCCCCAGGTCCCATCTGTTCCTCTTCGAATGCGGGGGAGAGGGTAGGTTGTGAAAGCTAATTTAATACGTTCAGCCCAGCCCTGCGGCTCTCTGGGTTGGAGCTGAAACACCAGTCTCCTCCTGTGCACACAGCACGGTCTTTCACGGGGTCCAGACTGGGCACTCACAGGAGAGACCAGCACAGGCAGATCTCAGGCAAAGCTCAGGTGCCTCAGTTCTGCACACTGCTCCTCCATCCCTTGTCTGCCGGAGGCCGGGATCCTCCTGTCTACTGTAAGCCTCGGTCCTACCCTTGCTCCATCTACAAATGGTTCCACCCCTCACCTCTTCCAGCTCCCCGTTGGGGGAACCGCCTCCCCACCAAGCCAGGCAGGTTTTCCCTTGCTCTTAGGACTCTGGTCCCGAGTAGAGCGGCTCCTCTGCGTCTGGCAGGCTTTGAATGCAAGGGCTATGTCTGTTCCTGGTCACCAGCCTGCAACACTGCCTGGCACATAGTAGGTGGTCAACTGATCATTGCTGAAACTGGTGTTTCCTACATTTTGCTGTTTCAAGTTTCACCTTTAGGGGC